TCGAGCTCGTCGTTTGTTCCTCTCGCTCTCGCCTCCAAGCTGGGTTGGCGCACGCCCGTCGGGCTTTCGAGCCTCCCATGCTTTCCCGCTCGAGGCGTGGTCTTCCTGTCGCTTCAGTTTCTGCTCTGGCGCGGGCATACGTCAATCGCGGGTGTGGCCGCCTTGCGTCCGATGTATTTTGACACCCTTTCCTTCTTCTTGCCAGCCTGGTGGCTGGCTCCTTCTTTCTGGCTCCTTCTTTCTTTTACCATGCTCGGCGGTGGCACAACCGGCATGGCCCCTCGGCAGCCGCGCCGCCCGTCCTTACTTGGACCGAGGACGCCTAGAGCAAAGACAGCGGCGAAACAATACCTGTGTCTCATGCTCCTCTCTTCCTCCTCCACCTTCTTCGATCCTCCTCCTCATCCTCTCCCGCGCGGAATCCTCATGCGTATCTCGCCGCCGCAGCAGACGTGTCAATGTGGCGGGCTTGGCGTTTCGCCTTAGATCCCCTCGCAATATATGATGAGAATGTGTGAAGATCCTCGCCTTGTGTACGGATGGAAAGCGGGTCTTTACCAATTGTTGGTTTTCGCCCTACTGGCTCCGTTTCCCCCCAGGTTTTGTTTGATTGTCCCCCCACGTGCGGGGTCGTTTGGGCGGTGCGGGATCGGGGGGCCCCTTTCCCGACGCGCAGCCTCGGCGCTGAGTTTGTATTTGGAGTCGGGCAGGTGCCAGAGAGGAGAATTTGTTCCGGAGAAAGTGTCGTGACCTCTGGGGCACACGGTGTGAAAGCCTTGTGATGTGGAGACGCCCGCAGTATGGGCATTGTACCCGAGCTTGCGAGTCCAGCCGCAGCATCGGATGATGTGCGTCTCCACTGGTGGTGTGCGTCTCCACCGGTGGACCCTGGAGGCCCAGCGCGCCCCCGCTGGCAAGCTCGCCGTGCACGGCCGGCCTTCTTCCGCATCGAGGGGGGGCTCGAGGGTTTTTTTGGGGGGCGCGTCGAGCCCGTATTGTTTCGGCCGCATCCAGTGCCACAGCGGAATCGGCTGAGGCCTGCGTCAGTGAGATCCTGGGCGTCATCGGTTGGAGGCCCCTGCGCGCTCGCGGTCGCCGCCGTCACCCAGCGGGCGCTCGCGGTCGCCGTGGTGGCGGCCACTTCCAGCAAACGCGACCGACGGGCAACGGCGTCCGCCGCGGCAGGGGCCGCAGACGGGGACGAAGGTTCCCGACTCAGGAATGCTCTGGCGGCCGCAGGAGCGAAAACGAGGTCGCGGAGGCGCTGGCCATGACTTTCCGCCCCCCTTTATCAGCACTATGGGTTCGCCAACATGTTTTGTTGTGCTACGGTACGGTTGCGAAACCCGTCGCGTGATACCCAGTGGGTTTGTTGTTCGTCGGCGAGTGGCGACACAAGGAGCGATGTTGTAGCCTGCAGAGCCTGATGCCGCCACGCGGCACACTGGGCGTGCACAGTCGGGTTTCGTTCGCCTGTCCTCTGCCTTTCCCTCCGCGGCTGCCATCTGCGATTCTTTTTGCACAGTTCTGCGATTCGCACGATGGCGACTCGTGTGTGCTTTTCCGACCCGACCTCGTCCGTGTCCGAAACACGCCGCGCGAGGTCCACGATGAGTGTTTGTTTTCGCTTTTGTGGGGGAGTGTCGCTCGTGGAGATTAGGATTGACGCTATATTCGAGCCGGCGAGACCGCGTTCTTGCGAAACCCGGGGCCGCAACGTTGCGCACTCGGCTGACGCAGTTCGGTTGCGTTCGCCTTCCTTCTCCGCGGCCGCCCGCTGGTGTTGCATGTCTGCCGCAGCGTCCATCTAGCCTAGGCCAGCGCGAGTCCATAAGCGAAAAACGTGCGTCGTGGGCGAATGCTGCAAAGTTACACCGCGCGCGACAAAATGGGTTCGCTGACCCGGCGCCGGCCTCCCCCCCAGACTTCGGACGACCCAGCAGGCCAAGGGCGAGGGCAAGGGCCAGTAATCATGGCGCCTTGTCGGGCAAGAGCAAGAGGAAGAAGGTCGGCGAATGCAGCGGCAGGGCCAGCAGGGCGAGAAGGGCAAAGGCGGCGGCGACAGCGAGGACCGCGGCGGCAAGGACGAGTTTTGCGTGCGCTACCACCAGTAGGGGTGCGGTGCCGTCGCGGCGCTACGTACCCGCGCAAGCGCGGAGAGAAGGGGAGCGGCGGGCGTCGCAACGCGGAGTGGGAGGAGGGCACTTTGGATATTCATTTGTGTGCAGCCGTCCAGACGGCGCGCGACGGTTTCTTTGTTCCCTTGCTTTCCACTGCTGGGGAGGAGGAGGAGGTGGAGGAGGAGGAGGGGGAGGAGGAGGGGGGCTGGGGGGGGTTGGGCGATCTCCTTCGTTTTCGCTCTCCCCGGGCTCTCTCACCTGCGGGTCGAGCAGCCCGCTCCGCGGCAAGGGATCGGCGCGGAAGGGGCCCGCGCGGGGACCAGGGGTCGCGGGCGTCGAGGCCCCGCGGCAAAGAGGACGAGGATGAGGGCGAGAAGGGGGGGGGCGTAGTGAGGACAGAACAGCTTGTGGCGGAGAAGAAAAACCACGGTGGGTAAGAAACCATCCCTCCCCCCAAAGGGAAACTTGCAACATGTGTTGCGAGGGGGAGGCTTGCTGTGTCCTCGCATCTGCGCCGCGCGCTCATGGTTTTAAGCGAAGTCTAGACGCGACTAGTGGCAATTCTGTTCGCGCGCGGCCCGCCCGTTCCGTTACTCGCCGCCTGCGCTTTCGCTTGCGGTTGCGCCAAAAGTGTCCCCACGAGCCTGCTCGGCGTCCGACCCGCTTCGTGCGCGGACCCGCCTCGTGCGCCTGCGGACCAAAAGGCATTTCCACAAGCCCATCCAGAAAACATGTCCGGGCGAGTTGAGCTGATCTGGGAAGTGCGGGAGCAAAGAAGTGAATGGCCCAACCGTGCGAAGGAAGGAGGAGGAGAAGGAGGAGGCTGGATGGATGGACGAGGGAGGAGGGAGAAGGACGATGAGTAGGATGATGATAAGGAGGAGGAGTAGGAGGAGGACGAGAAAGAGAGGGAATAGGAGGAGCAAGGCGGAGCAGGAGGAGGAATGCAAACAGAAAGGCCAGAGATCTCGGATGCCTCCCGGAGCCGATTGGGATATCTCTTGGGCGCTTCTTGGAGGTTTCTTGGCGCGTCTTGGGGGTCTCTTGGCGGTCCCGAGGGGCTGTTCAGCGTCTTGGGTGCCTCGGGGGTGCCTCTTGGGGCCGGTTCGGGTCGTCGTGGGGGCCTCTGGGAGTTTCTTGGGGCCATATCGGGGCCATCTTGGGGCCATTTTGGTGCCTCTTGGGGCCTCGTGGGCGCCTCTTGGGGCCATCTTGGAGGACATCGATCAAAGGAGGGGGGGTCCCTAATTATGGCAGCCCCTCTAGAGCGTTTAAAATCGCCCCTTACGGCGCTCTTGGGCGTTCTCGGGGCCATGTTGAGGCTCTCTTGGGCCATCGTGGAGCCATCTTGGAGCCATCTTGAGGCCTCGGATGGCTACCGGAAGCAAGCGGGCGAAAATGCACCAACCATTCTAAAGGTGTTTGGCGGATTTTGCCTCTTGGGGGCCTCCTTGGAAGTCTCGGATGCCTCTTGGAGCTATTTTTGGAGCGCTCTCAAGGCTTATTGGAACATCTTGAGGCATCTTAAGCTGTTTTTGCACAGTTTGGAGGTCAACTTGGGCTCTTGGAGGCCCTGTTGGCCCCGTTTGGGGCGAAACAGTGTCCCCCGACACCTCGCGATGCGCCCCGTCCAGGTTCAGGGGAGGGGGTCGGGGGGAGGGGCTGCGGAAGATGTCTCAGGCCAGGCCGGTGGGGACACCTGCAGTTGTCCTGCGTTTCTGTGCAGCGTCCTGCGTCCAAGTGCCCTGCGCAGGCGCTGTTCCACAGGGGGCTTGGTACATGCTGATTGGCTGTCTTGCTCGCTCATCCCAGTCACAGGTTATCAGTCGAGCTTGCTTTGCCCTCCGGGCCATGTGACCAGCGTTGCGTTTCTGTTCATTCTGAGTTGTGCTTGTGCTGCGCCACGCGAAGGACGACGCATTTGCTTCGGGTGATGTGACGGATGTCGTTGCCCATCTTGATCTGTGCAGCGCCAGCCGAAGGACAGCGCAATAATTTCAGATGATGAGGCGGTCCGTTATCAGTGTATTGTCCCCCAGCAATCTTATCGGATTTGATACCGTAGATGGTACATTCATGGGACGACGTCAGAGTACGACCCATGTAAAAACATCACCCCTGACCTCTTCTTTTTCATGCTGGCACCACATCTTTGACACCTTTTGCTGATCACCGTGCATGTTTGAGGCCTGCTATCTAGTTGGTCAGTTGTTATCGCAACTTTGATCTGGACATCACTTGATATTGTTTCGAAGTGTATTCCGATCGGTTCCCAATTCTCAAGGTTCTTTCTCTAATGATCTCACGTCGTCTTTCGTCGGGGGGGGGCTCCTTGCTGGAAACATGCTGTCGATATGACGGTTGCGCACCTCAGCAAAAACACTTCGCATCGTCCTCCCACGATCCCTATCGCCGCTCCCCTCCTCTCACCCGTCGCCCGTTTTCTCTCCTCCCCTTTTCCTTTTTAGCTAGCACCACCCCGTATGTTAGTTTTCTGGTTTCCTATTTCCTTCTTCCTCCGCTCCCCCATTTTTTTGTTGCTGCGTCCTTCATCGTCCGCGATGTATTCGTCTTCTGCCTCGCCTACCTCTTCTTCGACCATGGACCCCTTGTTAACCGCAGCTATCAAGCTTTCGCGCCGAAACCGGCAAAAACCGCCGAACGCCGTCAAAAGGCCGCCGAAGATCGCCGAGGACCGCCGAAGACCGCCAGAAGACCGCCGAAGACCACCCATGGCTGGTGGGTAACAAGGGGCCCACCGTCGAATGCGTAACTCCGCGTCCTCACCCTCTCCCTCCTGATCTTCCTCCCTCCTCTTCCCTCCTCCCTCCTCATCCTCCTCCCCCCCTTCTTCCTCCTGTTGCTCTTCCCTCCTCCCTCCTCCCTTTTTCTTCCTCCTCCTCCTCCGTCCCTCCTCCCCCCTCCCTCTTCCCTTTTCCCTCCTCCTCCTTTTCCCTTCTCCACCCCACCTCCCTCCCGTCCGGCCATTGATGGCGCGCCCCGCCGGGCGCCTGGAGACGGCCGCTGCGCCCGCGCTGCTGGCGGCGCTGCCTGCGCTGGCGCTGCTGGCGGCGTTGCCGGCGGGGCGGGGGGCGCGGGGGGACGGAGGAAGAAAACGTGCCCACATTGCTACCCTTCCATCGTTCCCACCGCCTTGTTGGGCCTGGAAGAGGACGCGGAGGAGGAGGAAGAGGGGGAGGAGGATGAAGACCAGTACAAAAACAAGAGTCACCAACGATGTTGGAGTAAACCTTCCTTCCAAGCGCTCTCGTTGACAGGCCCCATACAACGGTTCATCCACTTTGAAGGAACTGCCTCGTTGGACTACAATGACTACAACCGTTTGACGACCCTGAATCATGCCAACACATGTTCTCGGGAGTTCAACGCCACGGATCAACTTGGCTATTGCGTCTTGGCGATCCGGAACCGTGCCAGAACGCCATTCGTGGGACGTCAACACAAGAAACCAATGTAACTGTTGCGCCCGCGTTATCCTGAATCCTTCCAAAACGCCACTTCTGGTGCGTTGATGCTGGGGAGCCGTGAAATTCTTGAAAAAGTTGTAAACGAATGTGCGCCGCACTAAGGCGCGAGCCAGATTTTGAAAACCACCCGCCTGATGTCCGCGAAACTCTTGCGAAGTTTTGCAACAAATATGCGCCGCGCTAAGGCGAGAGCCACATTTTGGAAAGGAACCGCCCCCAATGCGTGAAACTTCCGCAATTTGTGACAGCGAATTTGCGCCGCGCTAAGGCGAGGGCCACATTTTGAAAAGGAGCCGTCCTCAACCAGCGAAACCCTGGCAAATATTTCAAGACGAATGTGCGCCGCGCTAAGGCGAGAGCCACATTTTGAAAACCACCCGCCCACAATCCGCAAAACTCTTGCAACGTTTGAAAACGAATTGGTGCCGCGCTGAGGCGAAAGCCACATTATGACAACCACCCGCCCTCAATCCTGAAGCTTTCGCGATTTGTTGAACGAATGTGCGCCGCGCTGAGGCGAGAGCCACATATTTGAAAACCACCGCACTCAATCCGTAAACTTTCTGCGATTTGTTACATATAAAATTGCGCCGTGCCAAGGCGAGAGAGTCTCAGGCGAAACGCCCGGCCCGCCCCAAACAAATGCTTCTCGTGTGGCAGGAAGAATTTATGTGTTAGGGAAAGGGGTGGAGGAGGAGGAGGAAGATCAGGAGGAGGAAGAGGTAAAGGAAGAAGAGGATGATAATGATGATGATGGTGATGATGATTGTGATTGTGATGATGGTGGTGATCATGATGGTAATGATGATGATTATGATGATGATGATGCTGGATATGATGGCGGTGATGCTGATGACGATGATTCCGATGATGATGATGCTGCTGATGATGCCGTTGCTGATGCTGACGATGATGATGTTGTTGACGATGACGATGACGATGGCGATGACGGTGACGATGATGATGATGACGATGATGATTATCATGATGAGGATGAGGATGTTGTGGACGGTGGTGATGCTGATCATGATGGTGCTGATGAGGATGATGATGACGGTGATGATGCTGATGATGAGGAGGCTGAAGATTATGATAACGATGATGTTGCCGCTGATGATGATGATGATGCTGATGATGATGATGATGATGATGATGATGATGATGATGATCATGATGGTGATGGTGATGGTGATGCTGCTGATGATGCTGATGATGATGATGCTGACCCCGATGCTGATGACGACGATCATGATAGTGATTATGATGATGCTGGCATGAGGATGGTGATGGTTATGAATATGACGATGCTGATGGTGATGGTGATGCTGATGATGATGATAACGATGATGATGACGATGATGATGATGCTGCTGATGATGCTGATGCTGATGATGATGATGATGATGATGATGATGATGATGATGATGATGATGATGATGATGATGATGATGATGTTGTGGATGAGACAGAGGAGGAGGAGGCGAAGGAGGATGAACATACTTATGATGATGATGAGGAGGAGGAGGAGGAGGAGGAGAAGGAGGATGAGGTGGAGGAGGATGGGGAGGAGGTGGAAGGACAGTGGAGGCAGAGGGGGGATGGAGGAGGAGGAGGAGGAGGAGGCGGAGGAAGAAAGGGAGGAGGATGAGGAGGACGCGGAGAAGGAGGAGGAGGAGGAGGAGGAATGAACAAAGAGAAAGGCGATCTGAGGCGCGCAGGCGCAGCGGTGGTCCACCCCCTCAGCCGTCCACCAGGATGGATCGGCGCGCCAGAGGCGCGGCGAACGCCGACGGGCCCTCGCGCACGGGTACGCGGCGAGTGCTCCTGTCGGCGCGACCCGCGGGCCGAGGAAGAGGAGGTCGAAGCGCAGCACCTCCACGACCTCGAAAATCTGCGGGCGGCGCCCCTCGCGCCCCAGCCGCCCCTAGGCGCTCTCCCGATGGGTGGGGGAGGTGGGGTACTGCCCCTCCGAAGAGGCGTGTTCACCCTGTTCCCCGATTGGAGTTTTCAACGACTACGCGCTGGAGGCGGCAGCGATGTTGGTGATGATGGTGATACTGATCGCGCTCATCACCACGACGATAGTGATGATGCTGATGCTGATTCTGATGGTGCTGATGATGCTGCTGATGCTGAGGCTGATGCTGATGGTGATGATGATGCTGATGATGCTCATGTTGATGCTGATGACGACGATGGTGATGCTGACGATGACGGCGATGACGGTGACGACGACAGCGATGAGGATGACGATGATCATGCGAATGCTGAATCTGATGACGACGCCGGTCATGATGCGGCTAATGCTGATGAGGATGATGCTGGTTTTGGTGATGATGCTGGTGATGATGGTAATAATGCTTATCATGTTGACGATGTTGATGGTATGAGGCTGGTGATGATCATGATGTTGATGCTGCTGATGATGGTGGTGATAATGATGCTGTTGCTGAGGACGATGGCGCTTCTGTTACAGATGATGCGGAACATGATGATCATTTTGATGTTGCTGTTGATGATGCAGCCGATGACGAATTTATGATGTTGACGGTGCTGATGCTGATGATGATGATAATGATGAAACTAAACATGCGGATCTTGATGTGAATTATTATGATCATGGTGGTGCTGATGATGATACGTATGCTGATGATGACGATGCTGCTGCTGATGATGGCGATGGTGATGGCGATGCTGATGATGCTGATGATGCGATTGATGATTATGCTGATGCTGATGCTGGTCTTTGTGATGCTGGTGGTGATGCTGATGATGAAGATGTTGATGACCAGGATGATGACGAGGATAAGGGTGAGGATGAGGATGCTGATGATACTGATGATGCTGATGATGATGATGATGATGGTGATGATGATGATGATGATGATGATGATGATGATGCTGATGATGATGATGATGATGATGATGATGATGATGATTGTGTTGGTGACGATGAGGCGGGTGATACTGAGGCGTATTATGATGCTGATGGTAGCGATACTGATGCTGCTGATGACGAGGATGCTTATGATGCTGATGATAATGATGAGGATGCTGCTGCTGATGATGATAATGATGCTGATGATGCTGGTGCTGCTGGTGCTGATGATGATGACGCTGATGATGATGATGATGCTGATGATGATGACGAGAAGGAGGAGGAGGAGGAGGAGGAGGAGGAGGACAGGGGTGAATGGGGATGGGGAGGGTGAGGGGGATGGTGGACAGTGGAGGAGGATGGGGGGGAGGGGGAGGATGAGGATGAGGAGGAGGAGGAGGCAGAGGAGGGAGAAGGAAGAGGAGGAGGAGGTGGAGGAGAAGGATGAGGAGGAGGAGGAGGAGGAAGAGAAAACGCAGAAGAAGGAGGAGGAGGAGGCGGAGGGGGAGGCGAGGGAGGAGGAGACTGAGGAGGAGGAGGCGGACAAGGATGAGGAGACTTAGGAGGAGGAGAAGGAGGAGGACGAGGAACTGGCGAGGGAGGAGGAGGAGGAGGAGGAGGAGGAGGAATAGGGGCAGGAGGAGGAGGAGGAGGTATGAATCGCAGTATTTTGCCTGATGCATTGAGTGAGTGAGGGAGAGGGTTTATGTGGTTGCCTCCGCCCGCTGCCGTTTTCAGATCAACGTTGTTAGACTGACAGGCCTGTGCCCGGGGACAGGCGCTGAGAGAAAGGTCAGTCTCAGGGATTGCGTTGATCAGCGAGTACGAGCAGGCTCCTGGCGAAGCCACAGAGGAGTTTGGGATTTGCATCGATCTTGCGCCAAGTCGAGTCTTCCTGAGGAGACGATGGCTGACGGATCATCGTCTCAGGGCGGCGGAGCTGGTCAGTGGCGACGCCTGTCTGGCGAAGGAACCGTCGCGGCGACGGAGTACAAGAGCTGGAGGCGCTGGTTGGGGCCAAGCTGGCCGAGGAGGAGGAGGAGGAGAAGGATGAGGAGGGTGAGGGCAATGGCGACGGCGACGGCGACGGCGACGGCGAGGGCGAGGGGGAGGAGGAGGAGGAGGATGACGAGGAGGAGGTGGAGGAGGTGGAGGCGGACGAAGAGGAGGATGCGGAGGAGAAGGAGAGGGAGGTTGGAGATCAGGAAGGCATTGGAGGAGTTGGAGGAATTCGTGTAGACATGAGGAATCGCACATGGAGTTGGTGGAGGATGCGGAAGAGGAAACGGGGGGGAAGAGGAGCAATGGGCGGAGGAGGACGGTCAGGAGGCGGATGAGGAGACCGCGTAGCAGCAGAACGCACGGTGGAGCAGGAGGGCAAGAAGATGAGGGGGGGGCAAGGGCAGGAGGAGCAAGTGGATCAGGCGTCGGAGGCGGCGGAGGAGGAGGAGTGCGACGAACGGGAGTTGCACGTGGACGAGGCAGCAGCAGAGACGTAGGGCGGCGGAGGTCCTCCTCTGCGGCTGCGGTGGACCGTCGAGCCCAGCGCCCACCCCGGCGCCACCGCAGTGCGCGCGCCTGCCGTGGGGGGGGGTCCGGCTGCCGCCGCTGCTGCCGCAGAAGGCAGGACGGTGGCGGTGGTGAGGATGAGGGCGGCGGCTGCGCGGCCTGGGCGTCTGGGGGTCGAAGGAAAGGGGGAACGAGCAGGACGAGGATGAAAAGGAGGGGGAGGGGGCTGGAAGAGGTGGACGAGAGGAACGAGCTGGGCGCTGCTCAGGGTGTCCCTGGCCCCGAGCTGCCTCCTGGATTCCCAGAGACGGCCCCACGTTCTCCAGAGCACTTTCGCCTGCGGCTACTTGAGCTCGACTTCTTGCCCACGCTCCACATGGATCGTGAGTGAGAGTGTGGGGCCGGCTGCAAGGAAGGGTCGCCCCTCTCGAGGCCCAGAGGGCTCACGAGGAAGGATCTCTCCTCCTCTCCCACCTTCCCCCCTGACTCCTCCTCCCTACCTCCTCCCTGCCTCATCCCTCTCTGGCACCTCCTCCTCCCCCTCCTCCTCCTCCTCCCCATCTTCCTCCCCCGGGGGCTCGGAGGCTGCGCAGCTGCACTGGAGCAGAGGCCTGCCGACGCGCGCGCGCGCGAGTGCGCGACGACCGACCGCGCGCACGCGGTTGCGCGCTCTCCATGGTGGCACTCCCCCCGAGGCGGCGGGGGAAGGGGGTGTCTGGCGGGGCTGGGACAGGGATCCATTCGTTCCAGGGCGTACCTGAACGACGAGCTTTCCCGACTGCTGTTGGAATGCCGCTGCGCCCGATGCATCCTCCAGAACCGCCAGACCTTACTGTAGAGATCCCCGATGTATCCTTGTCCGAGTTTGGCTTTGTCCCAGCCTCGCCCGACGCAGGGAGGGACCGACCTGGGCGGTCGGCTACACGGAAGAGCACGCAGCCCTCCGCCAGGGCGGCTTTCCGCGCGCGCCGTGCGGGGGCCGCGGCGGGGCCGAGCCCAAGCACGCAGGCCGCCATTGCCGCATCGCGCGCAACGATCGGCAAGCTTCGCACCACACGTCTCTCTCGCCCGGGGCCGCTGCTGCATGTGGCCGGGTAGAGCGCCGGCCCTGCACCCGCCACGCTCGACCAAGGACGAGGTGACGTTCCGAGGGTGCCGCTGACACCCTCCAGGATGCAACTCCTTGGAGGTTCAAATTCAGCATCGGCGATGGTATATCCTTGGACGAATACTGGCCTGAACTGGCAGACTCCCATCCAATTCTGTTCAATCCGTCCCATTCAGGCAAAATCGGGCTTACTGCTGGACTTAATCTGGGCTGATCGGGTTCAATGCTTTTTTGATCTCCCTTCATCGTCCTCACGACGACCACCCAGGAGCTGCTTCCTAGCACCCCTGCCTTCCCGACCCATTCTTGGCCAGTCTCGCTGGTCAGCCCTTGTATCAGAGTTGGGGGGCCGAATGGTCTTACACCGTCCCTGGATGCATGGCTGATGTGGGATTCCGCGGCACGGACGTTGTTTGTGGAGTTATCATTGTTGATCCCCCCTCCGGTGCATCTGGTAGTTTTCAGTTACAGTGCTCCTCCTTGGGCTCGCACCCTGTGTGTTACAAGGGAAAGGCTTGGTCCTCAGACTGCATTGGTGGCATCCGAACTACAACAACAACAACAAAAACAACGGCTCCCGCCTGAAACTTCCTCAGAGTGTTTCAGTCTCGCGCTTTCGCGCGGGATTTCCCCAACATGTATACAGGAATCGCGCTCTCGCGTGGCACGTCCTCGTAATGTATTCAGACGCCGCGCCCTCGACGCCCAGGAATCGCGCTCTAGCTTTGTCATTTTTCACTGTGATTGGAAATCGCGCTATCGCTTGAGACCTCCTCGCGAGTCATGCAAGACTCACGCTTCAGCAATCCGCCTGCTCGACATGCCGCCGTGGCCCGCCTTCCCGACCCGCATTTTAAGTTCTACCCGCCCGATCAGCCCGTCTGTTTCTGCCACGTGCTTTTTGTTCCTATCCCCCTCCTGCTAATCTCTCTCGTGCTCCATCCTCCTCCCCCCCTTCATCAGTTCTCTCGTTCCTCTTCTGACGGGCTGCACCAACCAATTACTCGTGGCAGGTAAGGGAGATATACCCCCAAGGGGGTACGATCGAAGACATAGAGGGCGGGTATCGAGAGTTTGGGAGATACGTGTTGAATGGCACGCGATCACGTAAGAGCGAGCAGTGCTATCATGAATCATGACTGTTGTTGTTGCTGTTGTTGTTGGTGGTGTTGGTGTTGTTGTTGGTGGTGCTGTTGTCGTTGTTGAATTATCACTTCTGAAGAATATTTTTTGTTGATCTCCCCCGTCTGGTGCACAGTGTTTTTTCTCGATTGAAGTGCCCTTCCCGGGGCTCGCACCCTGTTTTTTTTGATCAGGGAAAGTCTTGAGGGTCAAACTGTGTCGTTGACCCCCAGGTTACAACAGCAACGGCTCCCGCCTGAGACTTCCTCACAATTTAGCCAGGACCCCCGCTCCCGCCCGTGACTTCCTGGCATTTTACTCAGGAATCGCGCTCTCGCTGGGGGCTTCCTTGCAATTTATTCAGGAATCGCTCTCCCGGCTCTCTGGAGTCGCGCTCTCGTTGGAGACGTGCTTGCGGTTTACTGAAGAGTAACGCCCTTGCGTTGGAAATTGTTGCAATTTATTCAAGCGCCGCGCTCCCGACACCCAGGCACCCAGGAGTCGTGCTCACTTTTAGGACTCCCTCACAGATTACCTCAGAATCGGGATCTCGCTGCCCTTCGTGGCCCTATTGCAGCCCCCCTCGCTTTGTTTCGTGGCCCCGTTGCAGCCCTTCGCGGCCCCCTCGCTGCCCTTCGCGGTCCCGTTGCCGCCCCTCGTGGCCCCCTCGCTGCCCTTCGTGGCCCCGTTGCAGCTCTTGTTGGCCCCCTCGCTTTGTTTCGTGGCCCCTTTGTAGCCCTTCGTGGCCCCCTCGCTGCCTTTCGTGGCCCCGTCGCAGCCCTTTCGTGGCCCCGTTGCAGCCCTTCGCGGCCCCCTCGCTGCCCTTCGTGCCCCCCTCGCTGCTTTTCGTGGCCCCAGATATGTATGCCCTTCGGGGCCCCCGTTCGTTCGCGCCCGTGGGGGCCCCATATGCATGCCCTTCGTGGCCCCGCTGTCGCCCTTCGTGGCCTCCTCGCTGCCCTTCGTGGCCCCGTTGCTGTCCTCAGTGGCCCCGTCCTTGCCCTCCACGGCCCAGTATACGTGTGCCCTTCGTGGCCCCCGTTCGTTCGCGCCCGTTGTGGTCCCATGTGCATGCCCTTCGTGGCCCCGGTTTCGCCGTTTGTGGCACCCTCACCGTCCTACGTGGCCCAGTTGCTACCTTCAGTGGCCCCGTCGTTGCCTTCATGATCTGCCCTTCGTGGCCACCGATCGTTCGCGCCCGTCGTGGCCCCATGCGCATGCCCTTCGTGGCCCCGTTGTCGCCCTTCGTGGCCCCCTTCCTGCCCTTCGTGGCCCCGCTGTCGCCCTTCGTGGCCCCCTCGCTGCCCTTCGTGGCCCCGTTGCTGCCGTCACTGGCACCGCCTTGCCCTCCGCGGCCCAGCATACGTGTGCACTTCGTGGCCCCCGCTCGTTCGCGCTCTTCGTGCCCCCATACGCATTCCCTTCGTGTCCCCGCTGTCGCCCTCCGTGGCCTACTTCGTGTCCTTGTGGCCCTGCTGTCGTTCTCTCTCGCTCTCGCTTTCGCTCGTCGTCGCCGTCGTCGTCGTCGTCGTCGCCGTCGTCGTCGACGTCGTCGTCGTCGTCGTGTCGGTCCCCTGTCCGTCCCTCTTGGGGTCGGGTCGACGGTCCGCGGCCGCCCCGCCGATCAGCGCTGCCGCTGGCCAGGCCGACGGTCCGCGGCCGCCCCGCCGCTTGCCGGGGCCCGGCCTGCAGGGAAGAAAGGTATACCCCCCAAAAGGGGTTCGATCGAAGACGAAGAGGGCGGGTATCGAGGGTTTGGGAAATACGCGTTATTGGACACTCGAGCAGAAAAAGGGCGAACAGTCTTAAACTGATTGTTGTTGATATTCTTGGTGTTGGTGTTTTGTGGTTGTGGTTGCCGTTGCTGTTGCTGTTGCTGCTGTTGCTATTGTTGTTGCTGTTGTTGTTGTATTGGTGCAGTGATTGTGGTTGTTGTTGCCGCTGCTGTTGCTGCTGCTGCTGATGTTGTTGTTGCTGTTGTCGGGTTCTAATTTTCCTAAGAACAATGTTTGACGATCCCCCTCAGGTGGACCTTGTGCTTTTTTACCTGGAAGACTCCTTCCTGGTCTCGCACCTGTGTTTTACAAGGGAAAGTCTAGGTCCTCGAACTGCGTTGGTCGCTCCCGAACTACAACAAAGGCTCCCGCCTAAGATGTCCTGGTAATCTGTTTCAATGTCGCGCTTTCGCGCGGGATTGCCCCGCAATGTTTGCAGAATTCGCGTTCTCGCGTGGGACTTCTTGACAACTGATTGCAGCGCCGTACTTCCTAGCCTCAGGAATCACGCTCTCGCTCTGTCCTTTCGCACGATTTACTTGGGAATCGCGCTATCGCTCAAACTTGCGATTCATGTTGTACTGACGCTACGGCGACCCGCGCACTCGACCTGCCCGTATGGACCCGCCCTCTCGACCTGCGCGGGACCCCACTGGTGTTCGCCCCCCAGCAGCCCTCGAAAGTATCGATTGCTTCGCCCTTCGTAGCCCCCGAAAGTGGAACCGCGTTGGACCCCACTGTGTTTTCTCCCCCAGCAGCCCTCGAAAGTGGCGACTATTTCGCATTTCGTAGACACCCAGGTATGGCGAGTTTTTTTATTTGCGCGGGACACCACTGTGCTGCCCCCCCCTCCAGCAGCCCTCGAAAATGTCGATTGTTTCGCAATTCGCAGTCCCCCCCCCGGGATGGCAAGGTCTTTGTTGGATTTGCGTTGGACACCTCTGCGCTGCCCCCCCCGGCAGCCGTAGAAAGTGACGGCAGTTTCTCATTTCGCAGCCCCTACGGTAAAGCACGACGGCAAGGCAGGCGACACACCAGCCTGGCAGCACAGCGAGGCAGGAGGCATGCAAGCAGGCAGGTGCAGGCAGGCGTGAGGGGGACGGCGGGCCGAAGGAGGAGAACGGAGGACTGGAGACCCAGCTGCTCTCTTGAAGCCGAGAATCCGACAAAGGGAGGGTTGGGAAAAACGACGCACGCCCGATTGCCACTTTTTGCTCGTCTGCGGCGCCCAGATCTGAGGGCGCTGCAGGCTCGCAGCGTGCCGACGCAACGGCGACCCCGGCGCTGGCGTTGAAGGTTGAACGCCTCCAGTCCCTCCTCGTTGGCCTGCTGGCAACGGCCTGGCGATCGGAGATCCGAGGATCGTTCAAGGGGGAACGATGCACGCGGTGTCAGAAACCAGCGCCGAAGCCGTCACGACGCGAACACGCCGTAGGCCGTAGGCCGTAGGTCGTAGGCCGTAGGCCGTGAGCGAGCCACGCGGGTCGCGCTGGCGTCCGCGCACGCGGGGTCTGCGCCCTCTGCGCCGTGCGCCCTGTGGCCTTTGGCCGATCCATGCCGCCAGCCTGAGCCGGCCCCCCGCAGGACGTTCTCCCTCAGAAGCAGGACCCCGCCTTTCAATGAGACCCGTCTCCTCAGAAGGCCCCCCCCCGGTTCCACGGATGCCTCTCTCTGCGCCCTGCGGTCGCGCCGCCGCACGCCCTCCCCCGCCCCGGAGAGGTGCGTGCCGCCCACGCCCGCGCCGACCACGGACGCCCGGACGAAGGCTCCCTCTGCGGCGGCAGCAGCCCCCCCACGCGCCGGGCATCTCCAGGGTGGAGCAGGATGGAGTGCCCGTCCTCCTCGCGCCCAGAGGAGGAAGAGGTGCCGGAGGATGATGATGATGATGAGGAGGAGGAGGAGGAGGATGAGGACGACGACGAAACTTCGCAGGCAGTCTACTACTGCAACCTACGACTATCACGATTCAAACGAACTCGATGACAATGTGTATTGTCGTGCTTGCTCTGATGACGCTACCAATGTGAATGCCACTACTGCTAGCAAGTCGTACGAATAATCATGCGGCCAGTAAAGATAATGCCAGTAAAAGTATTGCGAGGTGCTTACGAATATAGCACGAATGTTGCGACGATGCGTAATAACCACACGAATGCTGTTACGATTAATGATGTTATTTCTAGTCCAGGCGCTGATATTCTTGACGCTTCGCGCAACCCCACCAGCTCATCCAGAAACGATGCAAAGACGAGTTGCCCAGATCAGGATTGCGCAGGGGGCATTCAGTGGAAGAAAGGGCTGGATAAGACGTCTAACCCCGAGAGGGGGAGGATGGAGGAGAAATCGGAGGGGCAGCAGGAGGAGTAGGGAAAGGAGGATGGGGAATAGGCGGATGAAGAAGATGAGGAGGAGGACAAGTGCTAGCAGAAAGGTCAATGGCCAGTCGCTCCACACCGACATTCTTTCTTTGCACCTACGCTGCATTTACGACGCTCCACCCTGTCAGTCGCTTTCCCCTGGCCTCCGTCCCCGACGCCCGCCCCCCGTTTGTTCCGCCTACAGATACAGTGCGACTGTCAGTCGCCCCCCCTGGCTCCCCTGCCCAGTTCTCCCCGCCGACGCGCACGACGGCTATCAGCCATCTGTTCCCCCCTACCGCGGCCCGCCTCGCGGCCGCCACGGCCCAGCGCCTAATACCGCCCCGCCGCTTGTGTGCTCGGGCCCCTCGCGACGTTGCGCCCGCCCCCGCGTCGCCGCGGGTACCCTTGGCCCATTGTCGGCCCCTCGCGAGACCGCCGGGCTGGCTGGGGCTTGGTCGCCGGGGCTTCGCGTGCCTCGCCCGCGAGCCTCGCTGCTCCCTGCGCACCCGCCGCGGGCCTCGCCACGCAGCCCCCATCCTCTCTCCTGCCGCCAGTTCCCCCCCCTGGTCTTCGACGACTTCTCGGGGCGTCGCAGCCGGCGCTGGCGGCCCCGCTCTGGCGCGCGTGGCCTCTGGGCTCTCTCGGCCCCTCGCGCCGTCGCCCCCCGTCTGGCTGGGGTGCCTGCTTTCCCCCCGTTCGGCCTCGCCGGTCGCTCTGGGGACGCCCGCCCGCCCCTCCTCTCGGGGTGCCCCCGGCCGCTCGGGCCCGCCCTCTGCCCGTGGGCGCCGCCCCCGCCCGTTCGGGGTCGACGGACACCTGGTTTTCCCCGTGCCAAACTGGGTTTCCTCCTCCACGCGTTCGGCGATGTTGTTTCACGTCGGTCATGGTTCCTGGCGTCTCGCTGTCGGTGCTTTGCTTGGCGCCGTCATTGTTCCATCGCCGCGGCCCCCGCCGTCGCGTTCACCCCTCGCACGGACGTCCGCCATCATCGCGCTCGCGGTCTCACGGCCCCCCTTCGGCGATCCGGAGTCTTCTGTTGAGCGCCTGCACGGTTCGCCCTCCTCGACTACGTGACGGTGGTCATCGTCCCCCTCGACTACGCGGTGGTGATCTTCGAGGACCAGGGCTCGACCTACTTCGCCATTTTGGCACCTGGTGCACCTTTTGGTTTTTGTTCGGCATTGGCGTTCACGTGAGCCTGATCCTCAGTGTCCTCTTCGCCTACTGAGTCGCAGCGTAGTTCGCTCCTGCGCGCTTGGTGCCTAATTTAGATCGGGGCGCTGTTGCTTCTCTCTTTGGCGGCGCGCGGTTGCGCCGTATCGCTCGCGGACAAAAAAGTAACTTTTCCAGCCCGTCCAGGAGCGATGCCCAGAGGAAGTGCCTCGATCAGGGGAGTGGGCAGCACGCAGGGGAAGGGTCCCCCAGTGGAGGCCCCTTGGAGCGTCTTGGTGGCCTCTTGGCCTCTTAGAGCGTCTCGGGTGCCTCGGAGAGCTTATCGGGGCCTCTTCGGGGTCTTTTGGGTGCCTCTTGGAGGCCTCTTTGGCGCCTGTTGCGGCCTCCTGGGGCCTCCTGGGCGCTTCTTGGGGCCTTCTTGAAGCGCTCTTGGGAGCCGCGGGAGCGCTCTTGGGGCCATTTTGGAGGACATCGATCGAACAAGATTGGAGCATTCATTCGCGTTGCCCTCGGGAGCCCCAGAAGTCGCCTCTTGGGGCGCTCTTGGAGCGCTCGTGGGCGCTCTTGAGGCCGTCTTGGGGCTCTCTTGAGCCTTTATTGGAGCCCTCTTGATCCATCGAGGAACCATTTTGAGGCCTTGGATGGCCCATCGGAAGCGAAAAGGCGAGAAAGCCAAACACACATTGATTGTCCTAAGGTTTTGGAAGGATATTGGCCTCTTCGTGGCCTCCTAGGGGAGCTCTTTGGCCACTTGGAGCCGTCTTGGGGCGGTCTTGGGGCCTCTTGGAGCATCGTGGGAACCATCTTGAGGCATCTTGGGATATCTTGAGCCATCTTGGAGGTCATCTTGGGCTCTCCCAGGCGTTCTTGGAGTCATCTTAATCAGTGCCCCCCCTTGGAGGCCCACGTGTGGCCAAAACCTTGATCAAACCAATGATTTGGGCATTATCGCCGAGGCCTCTTGGAGCGTCTTGGGTGCCCCCAAAGCTTTTGGGGGCCTCTTGGGGGCATCCGGGGGGTCCTTTGGGTTTTCTTTGGGGCCTCCTGGCAACCTATTGGGGCCCTTTGAGAGCAGCCTTGGGAGCTTTGGGAGCGCACTTGGGGCCATCTCGGAGGATATCGATCAAAGAAGGGGGGGGGTCCTTGATTTGCCGCCTTTCCCCCCCCACCCAGGAGGCCAACATGGGGTCAAGTCTTACTGAATCGAATGATCTTGGCTTCCTCGCCGAGGCCATTTTGTACGCTCCAACTACCCGCGGACCCCCCCGTCCAGGTCCAGGGGAAGGGGTAAAAAGGGAAGAAGGGGGTTGGAAGAGGAATCTCCTCAGACCACCTACGCCCTAAAGGGCTGGTGCGATTCCATACCTACCATACCATGCCTACTACATACCACACCTACCCTACAGTACCATTCCAACACGACACCTACAATGCCATGCCAACCATACCACGCCACCTACCGCCCCGCGTGAACGAGGAGGGTATTTGACAACCGTGCTGTTCATCAGGTTTCGTGCTCCTACTCATCCAAGGAGGCCCTGCCTGAACGAGGAGGGCATCCGAACACCATGCTGTTCACCAGGTTTCGTGCTCTCCCATTCCTCCAAGGAGGCCCCGCCTGAGCGAGGAGGGTATTCGAAAACCAGCTCATTCATAACGTTTCGTGCCCCTCCCACCTCTCCAGGGAAGCACCGCCCAAGCGAGGAGGGTATTCAAAAACCATACTATGGTTTCAGGTTTCGTGCCTTTCCCACTCCTCCAAGGAGGCCCCACCTGAACGAGGAGGGTATTCGAAAACCATACTAGTTATCAGGTTCCGTGCCCCTCACACTCCTTCAGGGAGGCCCCGCCTGCCTGAGCGAGGAGGGTATTCGAAAACCATATTTTGCATTAGGTTTCGTGCCCCTCCCACTCCTCCAGGGAGGCACCGCCTTTCCGTGCCCTTTCCACCCTTCCAGGGAGGCCTCGCCTGAGCGAAGAGGGTATTCGAAAACCATGCTAGTTATCAGGTTTCGCGCCCCTCTCACCCCTCCAGGGAGGCCCCGCCTGAGCGAGGAGGGCATTCGAAAAACATGTTTTTGAACAGGTGTCGTGTCCCTTCCGCCCCTCCTGGAAGGCCTCGTCTGAGCGAGGAGGGTATCAGAAAACCTTCTTAATTACAAGAGGCGCGCGTGCAAAGGATCATACAATCACGCATGTGGGACATTAGGAGATGGCGGTGGAGCCGTGGTAGTTTCGGGGAAGCGCGCGAGGTCTGCGACACGCTGAGCTATGGCGTGAAGAACTTGTTTTGTCACTGCGAGCTAGTGTCGTCTCTATGACTCTTCGGGGCCATGGTGCTGGTGGGCGTCCCTGGAGCTTAGTGGGGATCTTGTGCGGGCCCGTGTGGGCCCATCCTCTGGCATATTGTCACAAGGTCCGAGCACGGCCGAAGCGAGCAAAGCGAGCACGATTTAAGCCACATTGGACGACGTATCTTGAGGGTGCTCCTTAATTTGGGTCCCCCCTCCTTGCAAAATCAGCATCTTGAACGCTCGAACGCCTCGCGGAACGCCCTGTCCATGTGCAGGGGGAGGGGGTGGGGGGAGGGACAAACCCTTCCTCGAAGGGGGAGGACGCGGGTTGGAAGAGGCAACGGTCCAAGTCACTCACGCCCTAAAGGGCTGGTGAGATGAATGCTTCCAAGGCCACGGGCGGCCACGGGAGCCCACATGAGGCCACAGGAGACCACCGCACCCGACCGACTCCGGATCCAGTCGTCCAGGCGTTCGATCCTGAAAAGTTGTAAAGTGTTGATTGACTGAGCTGATGTTAGGGATTGACTGAGCATCAAGTGAGGAAGATGAAGATAACTATGATCAGACCGAGGGGGAGATTCACTGCCCGCAGAGGGAAAGAGCCAAGGGAGAGAGACCGAAAACGGATAGGGATGCCCATCCGAGGAGAGTTTGTTGGAGGATGAGGGAGGAGATGGAGGAGGAGCAGCTGGCAGCTGGCAGCAGCAGCAGCCGCAGCAGGGAACAATATTTATTCCCAGCCGGCCCTCGCTTGGCGCGGCCGCGCGCTCGGCCAGGTTGAGACGATCACGACCGTTCTGGTCGGTTCGGGCGGGTGCGACGGGCAGGACGCGGCCTGCAAGGACGCTCCCCCCCAGGAGAGGATTGGGGGCGAGAGGACAGGGAGGAGGAGGAGGAGGAGGAGGAGGAGGAGGAGGAGGAGGAGGGGGAGGAGGAAGAGGATGAGGAGGAGGTGGAAGTATCAATACCGCTACCCCTCCCTCGTCCGTCCTCACGGCTGGATTCGCGTCGGAATGCGGGTCAAAACGCACCCCAGGAGAGGTCCGGAGAGTAGCAGTATCGGCACGTTGTCGTTACCCCAACAAGGAGGAGGAGGAGCAGCAGGAGGAGGAGGAGGAGCAGCAGGAGGTTGGTTACGTGCGAGGAGGAGGAGGAGGAGGAGGAGGAGGAGGAGGAGGGGGATGGATACGTGCGAGGAGGAGGAGGAGGAGGAGGAGGAGGAAAAGGAGGAGGAGGAGGATGAGGAAGGGGAGGAGGAGGAGCGCTCCGTGCGCCAGGGAGTGTGGTCCAGGGCGCAGATTCAAGACATCCAAGCGGACCTTCGAAGGTTCATGTAATTGCCTGTCGAGGAGGAGGAGGAGGAGGAAAACGCTTCGAGCATCGATGCTTAAAGTCTGGCAAGTGTCAAAAAGGAGTCGTCGTCGTCGTCGTCGTCGTCGTGGGAGGAGGAGGAGGAGGAGGAGGAGGAGGAGGAGGAGGAGGCCGCCCCTGACCGTACAGCCGAGCATCTGATTCAGAAACCTCCTCCCGAAGAGCTAGGCCAGCATTCCTGAATCAGCTTGCTGGAGAGCTGGCCCAGTTTCTCGAGCGCGTTCGCCCCTCCAGCGTTAACACGAAAACTTGGCCCAAGGTTGTCTCAAGGCACTTCGGGAAAGCTGGCCCAGGTTACTTAAATCATGTTTCCAGATGTAAGCCAACTAATTGTTGGGGGTAATGATGTGGCTCGTCCTTAGGTTGTACACCGCCCAGGCCAGGGGGGGCGGGCGGGAGTGTTGCCATCTGGGAGTCCATCTGCTCTTGACGGGGAGGAATGCCGATAGCTCTTGGAAGACGACGGCCGCCAATGCCACTTGATCGCAGACGCCTTGTTTCACTAGATCTGTCCCCGTCTCTCCTCTCTGTCGAGTGTCTCGGGGGACCCAGACAACACTGTCGTCTACAGACAACGCTGTCGTCCACTCCATCCTCGGCGGGGCCTGCATCTTCCACTGACGAGGGGTTTGTGCCTCTGGAGAGGGACGAGCCGCATTTCTCTTTCTGGACGACGCAGGGCACTTGAGCTGCCCCCCCCCTCCACGTTTTTCTAACGCATGCGTTCCCCACTTTTCGTCCTTGTCTCTCTGCCCTTTCGGCACGATCGCGCCGAGGACAACAAGACCCTGGAGGCCATGGTCGTGTCGCTCGGGCGGGGCCTCTCTCTTGCCTCCCGGCGGCCGTCGAGCGCGTCCGAGCGTCGCGCGGCACGGCGGCCAGGGTCTTTGCCAGATCCCCTTCTGAGATTCGTCTTCTCCTCGAAGGGCGATGGCTGTGCTGCGGCGGGACAGCCTGGCCCCCCGTTCTTGTTTCAGAACTCTGGCATCGGCTCATGGGGTTGTCGTTGCTGAGCAGAACAGAAACACAATTCGCTGGCCTAACGGGCCAAGGGCGTCTCAGGTGACTGGTTCACAATATTCTAGTTCGCGCGCGCGAGGCCGCCCCTGGAGGTCCCCAGACGACAAGTATCCCCGCAAGTCCTGGCAAGGTCCCGGCAGGATCCCGGTCAGGTCCCGGCCAGGTCCTGGCCAGGTCCCAGCAGGCTCCCAAGAGCCTTCCAGGAGCGCTTCGAGTGGCCTCCAAGAGAGCTCAACATGGCCCGAGACGGCCCAAAGAGCGCCTCAAATAGCCCTCCAAGACGCCCACAACGGCCCCAGAGGGCCCCTAGACAGCCCCAGAGGCTTCCAAGATGGCCGACGAAGCTCCCAAGACGGCCCCAAGAGGGGGCCCAGACGAGGGACTTGGACGGACATGGTGAGCTCTAGGCGCCGAAAGGTTCCCTGGAAGCCCGAAGAGGCCCCTAAAAAGCCCCCAAGAGGCCCCCGAGAGGCCCCAAGAGACCCCCAAGAGGCCCCAAGAGACCTCCCCAGAGGGTCCACAGAGCCAGAAATTAGTCATTCCCCTCCGGTGTTTGAGGGTTTTTGGCGTTTTCGCCATGGGAGCTTCCCGGCGCTTCAGGACGGCCCAAGTTGAAGAGGAGGCTTCCAGGCTCGCCCCAAAACGGCCCAACAGGCTTCCAAGAGCGCCCACGACGGCCCCAGAGGGCCCCTAGACAGCCCCAGAGGCTTCCAAGATGGCACCTGTCGAGCTCGAGGCGCACAGAGGTTCCCTGGAGGCCCCGAGAAAACTCCAAGAAGCTCCCATGAGGCCCCCGAGAGGACCCAAGAGACCCCGAGGAGGATCCCCAGAGGCACCCGCGACGCCCCGGGAGGCTCAGAAATACCGCCAAGAGGCCCCCGCGAGCCCGCCTATCGTCTCACTAACCCTTCCTTCTTTCTTCCTGCTTCTCCATCTCCCCCCTCTGCGCCAAGGACTCTCAATCCTCGAACGAAAACGCTCCGCCAAGAGGCTCCCGAGAGGCCTCCTTTCGTCTCACAAGCTCTTCTTCCGCCTCTGTGTCCTCCTCCTTCTCCCGCCTCTGTGTCAACGACGCTTACTCCTTAGACGAAAGGCGCCACAATAAATCATCACGACAGGAATCAAAAGGCTTCCTCTTCATCCTTGCCCTCCCCTCTTCCTCCTCCTCCTTCCCTCCTCCTCCAAACCCTTCTCTTCCTCCTCGTCATCCTTCTCTTCCCCTCTTCCCCCTCCTCCCCCTCCCTCCTCTGCTTCAACGAACCTCACCCCCTCTCCCCTCTGCTTCAACGAACATCCAGTCTCCAACGAAGAGCGCTAGAATAAAGCATCAAGGCGATACAATCAGCTTCCGTCTCCTCCCCCTGCTCTGCACCGCAGACATGTCACACCTCAATCCCACAAGCAGCCATGGCAGGGTTCCCGCCTCCTTCTCCTGCCTGTCCTCTTCGTACCCCGTCTTCCTTGTTCCGTTCCCTATCCTTCCGTCTGGCTCCTCCTCGTCCTCCAACTCCTTCTCCTCCTCATCCTCCTCCTCATCATCATTGTCATCCTCATCATCATCATCACACGACTCTCCTTCTCCTCCTCCTCCTTCTTCTCCCCCTCCTCCTCCTCCTCCTCCTCCTCTTCCTCATCATTATCATCATTATCATCCTCATAAGTATCCTCCTCCTCCTCCTCCTCATCATCATTATCATCACTCGACCCTCCTCGTTATCCCTGGTTCCCCCTGCCTGTCTCTGTTCCCACATTTTCGTGTTCGTCTTCTGTTTCCTCTATCACACCTCACTCACCTTGCTTTTCTTCCCCTCCTCTGCACCACTATCATGTCACACCTCAATCCCAGGAGCAGCCATCCAAGGGATCCCGCAGGTCCGCGGCCGACAAATACCCCGAGCAGGTGCCGGGCAGGTCCCCCGCAAGTCCCCATCAGAGATGGCTTTGCTCCTGCGCGCCGCCCTCAGGGCCTCCCAAGCGCCCAGGAAGAGGCCCTGAGACCCCTGAGAGGCCCCAAAAGGCGCGAACACACCACCACGCAGCCACTGTGATGCGAAATGGGCCAGCGGAATGATCGAAGCGATCAGATTCGGAGATGGGAGGGGGAGGAGGGAGTGACGACGAAACGACCACACGAACATACACTTGATGAGGTCTGCGCGGATTTCTCACATCGGCGCTGGGCCCAACACTGGCGCGCGTAGCGCGGCAGGGGCGACGCTGGAGGCCCCACCAGGGGGCCCGCCGCCGATTCGAGCAGTCCGCGCGGACCTCCGACAAGTGATGTTCAAACGGATATCCAGGAGACGATGGGCAGTGACGTGTTAGCCGGAGCACTCGACGCTTGGAGGGGGCACATTCGCCCCAGCTCCAACTTGGCTTGGGCTGGGGATCTCTCTGCATACGCTGAGAACGGTCAGACTCGTTCCGCGCAGCGCGACGAGGGTCGCAAGGCTGGCGGAGACGGAGTTGTCTGTCCCGAGCAAGTGACGTTCTGCGACACAGACAGGGCAGGGAGGGAGGTTGGGAGGATGGAGGTGCACCAGGTGAGCCAAATAAGCGCCCGCGCGTCCACTCTGAGACAACCCACGAACGCTGCAAGCGTAAGCATGCAATATGGTGCACAATAAGAGGCGCGCGTGCCAAGGATCATACAATCACGGGTGCATGCAGCACACGGTTTCGATCTGAAGGCGATCTCACTGGGACGGGAGAGTTTTGCGAAGGTCCAATCGCGTGTTTTCGAGTGCCGACCCCGGTATGCAGCGAAGCGCCCGGTCATTGCGCGCTTTTGTTTGGCTTTGTTGTTTGGCGCCTCTGGGACTCCTGTGGGGCTCTTTTGGAGCCTTTTTGAACATTCTTGGGGCTTCTTGGGTCGTTCTGGGGTTCTGTTGGGCTGTCTTTCGGGCGTCTCGAAAGGAATCGGCAGTCCAGGGACTCTTTTTAGGGCATCTTGTGGCCGTCTTGGCGGGGAGTCACGGGGGAAGCGAGGGGGGGCCACGGGGAGAGGGGGGGGAGCACGGTCGGTCGGAATAAGGAGACGGGGGCCGGGGGGGAAGCGGGGGGGCACGGTCGGGCAGCGGTGGGGGGCACGGTCGGTTGGAATTTGGTGGGAAGGGGGGAGGGGCACGGTCGACCCGAATGAAGGGTGGGGGACGGGGGGGAGGAGCGGAAGCGCACGGTGTGGAAGGGTGGGGGGGGGGACGGTCGGTCGGATTAAGGGGAGGGGGGCCACCGGGGGGCGGGGGGCACGGTCGGTCGGAATAAAGGGGAAGAGGGGCCACGGGGGGAAGGAGGGGGGGTGGCACGGTCGATCGGATTGAGGAAAGGGGGGCGGGGGGGGGAAACGGGGGTCCACGGTCGGGCAGCTGGGGGGGGGGGGGGGGGAGGCACGGTCGGCCGGAATAAACGAGGGGAGGCGACGAGGGGAGACGGGCGGGACACGGTCGGCTGGGATAAAGGGAGGGGGGCGGTGGCGGGAGCGCGGAGCCGCGGTCGGGCAGCAGGGAGGGGGGGGGGCATGGCCTGGAGGCGGGGGGGAGCGGGGGACCACGGTCGGGCAGCGTGGTGGCGCGGTCGGTCTGAAGAAAGGGACGGGAGCCACGGGGGGCAGGGAAGGGGGGCGGTCGGTCGGAGTCAGGGGACAGGGGGGGAGTCAGCGCCCACACATCCCAGCACTCCCAGCGCACACCGACACATGCCAGCACACATCCCAGCACACCCGGGGGGGGCCACGGCCAGCACGCATTCCAGCACATCACAGCACGCCTCCCAGCCCCCAGCGCACATCCCAGTATGTTCAACACTTCTCAGCACACCGATCCCAGCACACGGATCCCAGCACACCGAGGCAGTGCACCGACACATCCCAGCACATCCAGGCACGGTCGGTCGAAATAATGCATTGCGAGATCACATTGGTAGGCATGATAACTTTGTATGCCCTTGGTTGGCCTCGTGAGCAAGCTCCTTCGCATCCTGCAGAGGAATGGCGGACTCCTCCTGGCGCCAGAGGATAGAAGAGATATAGGCCGTGGAAGGGGATGTGGGATCCAGGTTTTCATGTGTGGTGTTGTTTTTGTTCCCTTACTTGCGGGAGCCTGCTGGGGCTCCTCCGGCACGGGCCTGTGTTGATTACTTATGGGGCCTATTATTCAGACATCTGGTTTCTTTTCTGATATGGCCTCGCTGTTTCAAAATGATGCTATTGGTCTGACTCTTTGGCTGTAGTCTGGCTTTGTGTGTTTATTGACTCTCACGGCGACTTTCTAGGAGTCGCCGCTTCACGGTGGATTCCGCAGCTGGCATCTGCGCACCTCCGTGCCTGGCCAGGGCCAGCCATGGCCCCAGAGAGGTGCGTGCAGAGGCCGTGTGCGCCATGGCGGGGCCCAGGAGCAGGCACGGCGGTGCTGCACAGGTGCCTTTCGCGGGTGGAGGCGGATGTCCCGTAGACGCACTGAGCAGTCAGCACACATCAGTCACCGATTCTGGGGATTCCCACTTTGTCTGCTAGACCCGCTGCCCGGTTTTTTGCTGATTGGCTCCTGCGTTCTCATAGACGGCACCTCCGCGATCTCATGCGATCTCACAGCTGCGCCAACCAGTCACTAGCGTAGCTGCCCTGAAACGTCCGTTTTGAAACGCTTCACGCTTTTTTAACGCTTCCGTTTTGGAACGCAGCATGTTGAACGTCCGTGTCAACATGTTGCGTGTTGGCTCGGCACTTGTTGGTCCACGTTTTGGCGATAATATCGTGCCAGACCTGCGTTTTCAGTCTACGTGTTGAGCTCCGTGTCAACACGCTACCTGCTGCGTGCCGCGTACGGGGGCATCTAATCAGCTTCCTCACCGAACGTGCTCCCCCCCTCTCTGCTGACCTGACTGCGCGTGCTCGGATAGGGGTGTCTCGTCGAGGGACGGCCGCGCGCACGCACCGATGTTGGCTCTGTGTCGCGTGCCGTGACCTTGCCAGGCTGCAGGGCGTTAAGGCGTTGAAGTGTGTACCGAATCGCAGGGCGCATTTCCTGGATAAGCCGGGGACTTGAGATGTGCACGTCTTTGGTGCATCACATCACGTGGAATACTCAGGAAACTCCTGCAGCTGCGGCAACCACTTAGGGGGCCCCCGAACGAGCGGTGTGGTGACCACGCCGCATGGTGAGTCGGTGGGGATCCGGGGTCACTGCACGGTCTTGGGGCTCGGGCCGTGCTCCGAGGACGGGCCGGGCGGCAGGGGCTTCCAGGGCTCCGTGTGGTGACGGGCCGCGCGGTGAGGCCGTTTGGGGTGCCGAGGCCACCGCGCGGTCCGCCGCCGCGCGGCTCCGGGGCCACGGGGCCGCCGCCTGGCCCCGCAGGGTGGACGGCGAGGGCGCGCTGGTGAGCCAGCAGCGGTGCTGGACCGTGCCCGGGCTGCCCGCGTGGCTCGCCGTGCGGGGGCCCGCGGGCGGCGCCCGGGGCTGCCTGTTCGCGGTCTACCCGGACACCAGGCGCCTTGCTGCCCGATCCGAGTCCTCCCCGCCTCCTCGTCGTCCACGTGCTCGTGCCCCTCGGGCTCTCCCCCCCTGCTCCTCGTCCTTCTGCTCTTCCGAGCACACCTCCCCGTCTCACCCTCAGGCGTGGCGGCAGGGTGGGCCCGGGCGTTCCGCCGATGACTTCCCCACCGTCCGAAGAAATCCGCAACAGTTGCAAGGATGGGCGGGGGCTGCGTTTTCAAACTGGTGCTCTCGCCTCAGTTTGCGCCACGCACCTGTCTTGACAGTTTTCAGCAGCTTCAAGGGTGGCGGAGGTTGGCTTCTAAGATGGGGCTCGCACCTCAGTGCCGTGCACTTTTGCTTTACACGCTTTCAGCAGCTTCGAATGTGGCGGGGCGTGGGTTTCCAATTAGATCTCTTACCTTACATTCGAAGTTGATGAAAAGGATGGGCCACCTTCCCAAGGGTACCCTTGCATCCTTGCCTCTACGATGTGCCCTGAATCACTTTCGACGGCCAGCCCCGCTCGAAAAGCTTCGACATGGGCGTCCAAGGGGCTCGTATCCTGTTCACGCATGACTGCTCTCAGTGTCGATTGTAACGCCGCGTACAAGCGTCTTTAAAGTTTGCAGCCGCTTCAAACATGGAGGGTGCTTCTTTCCTACATAGAGCCATCGCCTCAACGCGGGGGCACATTTTTTTTCAGAAGTGTGTAGCTGCAGGGATAGAGAACGGATTCGTTTTCAGAGTGCGGTTTCCGTGCACGCCTTGTCAAATTGGTATCAGTTAGCCTGGTGAAGGACCCAACCGTTTGCAGTTGTGAGTACCGCAGTTGCGGGTATCGCCCTCGGTGGAGCTCCCTATGGGGCCAAGAAGCGCTGTGCCGGTTGGGGGAGACGCATGTGGACACCGCCACTGGGGCCTTAGGTGGAGCTCCGTATGGGGCCACGAAGCGGAGCGCTGTGTGGGGGGGCGCATGTGGACATTGCCACTGGGGCCTTTGGTGGAGCTCCCTGTGGGCCACGAAGCGCTGTGCTGGGTGGGTGGGGGCGCCTGTCGTCACGACCACTGGGGCCTTAGGTGGAGTTCCCTATGGGGCCCCGCAACGCTGTGTCGGGTGGGGGAGACGAATGTGGACACCATCCTTGGGGCCTTCGGTGTAGCTCCATATGGGGCCACGAAGCGCTGTGCTGGGGGGGGAGACATGTGGACACCGCCACTGGGGCCTTAGGTAGAGTTCCGTATGGAGCCACGTAACGCTGTGCTGCAAGGATGCATGGAATACAAAGAGATCTTTTCAGTCGGCCCCGGAGGTCCCGGGCAGTACACACGCTCCTCGTGCGAGCACGCATCTAGGCCAAAATGGCTGTGGCAAACCCATCAGCAATCCTATCTGTTCCAAAGAGCATTGGGGGTGGGGTGGAGAGACACGACAGCGGGACCACTTTTAGTGGGACAGACAAGGATTGGGATGCCTTCCCTCTCACGGGCGAGCTCTCGATACCCCCGAAGCCAGTCACACACTCTTGAGTCCTGCTCTCGGCCTCTCGGGCCAGTTCCCTCCTGGAAGCTTGTCGCGAGCGGCTCTTCAGGGACGAGTTCAGCGCACGTTCCGTGAGGTGGTTCTCTTCGTAAACCAGGCAGACTGTTCCGCGGCAAAGTAAATCAGCCAGGGCGAGGTTGCCTTTCGAGGGGTCGGCCTTGGTTAAACTGTCGGCCGCCATGCGGCCGTGGGGCACCCATCGTATTTGGGATCCGAGGGAACTCATCGCATCTCTCACCACGGCAAGTTCGATCGCGCTTCGCCTATCTTGTCTCGAGCCAGCACTGTTCCTACTGAGAGTGTCAAAGACGCATTTCGCGTCAACTACCGAAATCGTGGACGCGCTCTCTGCCAGAGAGCAATGAGAGCTGAGGATGACCGAGAAAGGGGACTGACCAAGCTGCCAATCGGGCTTTCTCACATCACCGAACAATAAATCACGCCACAATATCTGTATCCACTGCGCCTCTGCGAGCGCTGATGAGAGACTCAGAGTCTCCGCGGCACTGGTGGATGAAACTACTCTCTTGAGACGGCTTGATCGCCAGGCAAGAAGGGAAGCTCGAGCTCTCTTATTTCCTCTGATCTCTGCGTCCGCCGCGACGACGAGAAAAGCCCCTTGAGCCCCCTCTCGGCGGGCTGACCCTGGCCCCCCGGCGTCAGAAATCGTGGCAAACGTAACCGTGAGAGGATCGATCGGCCAGATCACTATGTGCTGTGACGCGCTAGACTTGAGATGCCGAACGATCTTACAACACAGCAAGGCATCCTCGACAGTGGGATTCGGGAGCGCCGCAGATTGAAGAGAAGCCCCTCCCGCAACATCCGGTCTAGTTTCCCTCGCCAGCCACTGGATCTGTGCGATCATGGTTCTGTAACCCTTGATCTCGTCACTAGTCAACAGAGCCTGCAGGTCGCTTCTGCGACTCTTATCAAGTCTCATGGCCTTCAACTGTTCGAGAATGTATTTCTCCTGATCAACGAGAATCTTCCCGCCTGAGACCTGTCTCAAGTGACGGCCAGCGAAGTCGGACTCACCGATCTACCACTTCCCAAACTTAAAACGGCCCGTCAGTCTCGAGCGGAGTCCCTCTCGCTCGGATGGATCGGACGCCAGAATCAAATCATCCACCTCTATGAGGATGATCGAAAGAGGGGACCCCGTCGCACTACGTTTCACCCAGAGACAAGGCTCCAGAAGCGATTTCTCGAAGCCATCCGAAACGAGAAAATCCGTGAGGGTTCTGTGCCACAAGAGGGGAGCGTCATTAAGGCCGTATACAGGCGCGACCAATTCCACAAGTTCCCCCGGGGCGAGGTCTAAACCGTGGCACGGCTCACAGAAGATAGCTCCGGACGGCCTCCTCAAACGGTCACTCTGGCAAAACGCGTTCTTGGCATCTGCCACCTCGAGTGTCCACCCGAGAGAAGCTATAGCTTGAAGGGTCAACATCAGGCTCTCGGCCTGCGGCGTCGGTGCGTAAATCTGCAGATCCGCAGCGTCCGGGTCATGATGCCCTTGGACGCACCATCTTGACTTGGCCTCTGGGGCCGCTCCGACGCCCTCTTGGGGCTTGAATCTCCTGACCATTCTCGATCCGAGGCTGCGATCCGGGTGGCGTCTCCTAATGATCTGGGCCTCTTGGGCCGACACGACTCGGACAGCCCCAGACTGCAGGATACTGGTCCACTCCTTAGCATCGGAAAAAGAAAACAACCTCCTCTCCTCCTCGCTAAGATTCTTCAGGTTGACTTCGGCTCCTCGGCGGGCGGGAGGAGGATCGGACGACGACGACTCGGGAGAAGGACGAGGGTAGTTAGGATAACTCTCTCCGAAGGCCTCGGGGTCCCAGTGATACCATCCACAGAGTTCCTCCCACAGAATCTCGTCTTGGGCCTCGTCGGGCTGAAGAGAGCACCAGGTGCTGAGGTCTGGGTCATCCTCAGGCTGTCCCTCCGACTCTGGAGCCTCCCTCGGTGGAGATCTGGATCTCCCCCTCTCGAGAGCGGGGGGCTCCGGACTCGGTGGTACGGCCGAGGAGCTACTCGCAGCCCTCCTCAGAATACAATGTGGAACATCGTCAAAGGATCGATTCCTCCCTCCTTCTATCTCTCGCACTGCCGACAGCACGCGCCCGGTCTGACTCGGTAGCTCTTCCGACGGAGTCAGCTTGGGTCTTGACGACGCCGGTTCGCTTCCCGGATCGCTGGGAAGAAGAGAAGCTGGCCTCGCTCGAGGTCCCTCGCCTCTGGAGGCCCCTTCAGGCTCTGAAACAAGGGGAGGAAGAGAGGACACAGACGGTATGGATCTGAGAGAAGAGGGAGGGTGGGCAGGAGATGGAGCAGTCGAAACGCCCGCGTCTCTCTGAAGCGACGCCCCCTCGGGCGCTGCCGGAGGAGAAGACTGGGCGGAAGGCTCCGCTGTCGCCAGCGGCAGTTCTGGAACGGGTCTCGCGACGTCAGCCGTGACGTCCCAGGCTTCGGGGGGTGGAGGACCCTCTCCCTCCACGTCGACGGCCCCGACCCTGCCGTTCGGGCGCTGAAGCTCGTCTCTTAAATCGGCCAACTCTGAGCAGTCGAGAAGCTCAGCTCCGTCGGCCTCATCTCTGGCGGCCAACCTTACCTGTTCTACTGAGCACTTCAAAAGTCGAGTCCTCATCGCAACCCAAACCGTGGTTCCTTGCTGGAAAACGGTGGCCCCTGGTCCAGTCCACCGGGCCCTGGATCCCTCTCCGGACCCGGGACGCGGCCTTCGCCAAACGTAGACCCAGGATCCTGGAACGAAAACCTTGTCGGCGTGTTTTCTCGAGTTGCTGGCCGCCTTGAGACGTTCTCTAACATCTAATGACATAATTGCTTTGCGAGCCTCCTCTCGCAACTGATGCTTGCGGGCAAAAGCGGAGGCTGGTGATGACCCGTCTCTCGTTCCCCTGGCCAGGTCCTGGACTCCTATATCATCTATGGCATCGTCTGAGAGGAGGGCATGTGGGAGACGGGGGTTTTCTCCAAACACCATTTGATATGGCGAAAACCCACCTTTGTGAGTGAACCTGTTTTTAGCCGCTTGCACTTCGCACAGCAGATCCTCAAGCTCTCCCTTGTCCCGCAAAACCGCAACACTGGAGGCCTTCAGGAGGCCCTGTTTCACGATGCCCCCGTGCCTCTCGCATCTTCCGTTTTGCCATGGGCTCGTAGCGTCGCAAACGTGTTGATAAATCCCAAGACCCTCCAAGCCCCTCGCGAAAGCCCCTTGAAACTCGGGCCCTCCGTCACTCATCACCAGCTCTGGTATCCCCAGAGGACGAATCCACGTTCTGACGAAAGCTGACCAGACCTGGGATGCCGTTTCATTCTTCAACACTGTACAGACCTGGTAGTTGGATCCGTGGTCTATGACGTTCAGGATCGGGATGGATTCCTGGAAAGCATTTATATACAGCAGGTCCACCGCCACCAGCTTGTTGAAACGGTA